CCCTGATAGTAAGTGATAATGAGCATCTTTTCATGTGTCTGTTGGCCATCAGTATGTCTTCATTGGAGAAAGGGCTATTCATGTCTTCTGCCCATTTTTAATTGGATTTATTTTAGGGTATTGAGTTTTATAAGTTCTTTATATATTTTGGATACTAACCCTATCAGCTATATCATTTGTAAATACTTTCTTGCATTCCTTAGGTTGCCTTTAGTTTTGTTGATCGTTTCTTTTACTGTGTAGAAGCTTCTTATTTTGATGCAGTTCCAATAGTTTATTTTTTCTTTTGTTTCCCTTACCTCAGGAGACAAATCTAGAAAAAAGTTGCTATGGCCAAAGTCAAAGAGGTTACTGCCTGTGTTCTCTTCTAGGATTTTTGTGGTTTCAGTTCTTACATTGTATCCATTTTGAGTTTATTTTTTTATATGGTGTAAGAAAATGGTCCAGTTTCATTCTTTTGAATGTTGTCCAGTTTTCTCAATACCATTTGTTGAAGACATTGTCTTTTTCCCATGCTGGAAGATTATTAGTTGGCCATATGTTTGTGGGTCCATTTCTGGGTTTTCTATTCTGTTCCACTGATCTATGTGTCTGTTTTCATGCCAGTGCCAAACTGTTTTGATCACTACAGTTTTGTTATGATGCCTCCATCTTTGCTTTTCTTTTTCAAGGTTGGTTTGGCTATTTGGGGTCTTTTGTGGTTGCATATGAATTACAGGATTGGTTGTTCTAGATCTGTGAAAAATGCTGTTAATATTTTGATAGGGATTGCATTAAATGTGTAGACTGCTTTGGGTGGTGTAGACATTTTAACAACATTTGTTCTTCCAATCCATGACCATGGAATATCTTTCCATTTTTTTTTTTTTTTTTTTTTTTTTTTTTTTTTTTTTTTTTTTTTTTTTTTTTTTTTTTTTTTTTTTTTGTTGTTGTTGCCTTTAATTTCTTTCATCTGTGTTTTACAGTTTTCAGAGTACAGGTCTTTCCACTCTTTGGTTAGGTTTATTCCTAGGTATAAAATGATTTTTGGTGCAATTGTAAATAGGATTGATTCCTTGATTTCCCCTTCTGCTGCCTCAGTATTAGTGTATAAATGTAACAGATTTCTGTACATTGCTTTGTATCCTGTGACTTTACTGCATTCATTTATCAATTCTAATAGTTTCTTGGTGGAGTCTTTTGGGTTTTCTCTCTATATATATGTAGTGTCATGTCATGTGCAAATAGTGAAAATCTTAACTTCTTTACTGATTTAGATGCCTTTTCTTTTTTTAATCTTTAGGTCTTTATTTTTTGTACTTTTTTATTGAGGCATAACTGACATACATTTTATTAGTTTCAGCAGTACAACATAATGATTATATAACTGTATATATTATGAAATGATCACCACAATATCTAGGTAACATCGTCATCACATATAGTTACAGAATTTCTTTTCTTGTGATGAGAACTTTTAAGACATACTCTCAGCAACTTTCCAATATGCAATACAATATTATTAACTATAGTCACCATGTTGTACATTATATCTCCATGACATTTATTTTATAAATGGAAGTTTTGACTCCCTTTACCTATTCTTCCTACTCTTCACCCTCTGCCTCTGGCAACCATCAATCTATTATCTGTATCTATGATCTCATGTTTTGTTGTTTTGTTGTTTTTTATATTCCACATTTGAGATCATGTAGTATTTGTCTTTCTCTGACTTACTTCACCTAGCATAATGCCTTCAAGGTCCATCCATGTTGTTGCAAAAGGCAAGATGTTATCCCTTTTTATGCCTGCATAATATATATATATATATATATATATATATATATATATATATATATATATATATATATATAAAATCACAATTTCTTTTGTTCTTTTTTAAATGAAATAATTAATTAATTTTCTTCATGTAAGCTGTTTTCTTTCTTTAACTTAAATTTTTAAATAGTTAACATACAGTGCAATAATGGCTTTAGGAGTAGAATTCAGTGATTTGTTATTTACCTACAACAACCAGTGCTCATCACAACAAGTGCCCTCCTAAATACCCCTCACCCATCTAGCCCGTCCCCCACCCACCTCCCTCCATCAACCCTCAGTTTGTTCTCTATCATTAAGAAATCTCTTGAGGTTTGTTTCCTTTTATTTCTTTTTATTGTCTGATTGCTCTGTCTAGGACTTCTAGTACTATGTTGAATAAATGTGGTGAGAATTATCTTGTTCCTCCTGGTCATAATATTTTATTAAATATTTTGTGTATTTTAGCTCAGTTTAGGTCCTTTATGTACTTTTCAAATAAAATTTAAATATATTTTTATTTTTATTATTTATATCTAAAATACAGTTAAATTAAATTATCAATAATTATTTCTTAATACTCTTCAACAAATAAAATTAATTGAGGAGGACTATTTAATAATATTATCCTTCCAGAATGTATCATCTCAACATATGGATACTATATTTTGTTTTGTGCCTAATTAACCTTCTGTCCTCACAGCAATATAGTTTTAATGAATTCTATCATTTTAAAAGTGAGAAACAATTATATTCTGTCTTTCTGCTAAGTGGAAGAGTAGACTAAGTAACTCTTCTAACCCTAGAATGAAAGGCTGCTGAATATAATATGTATGAAAATATGTAAACACAGTTACATATATATTTTATTTAAATTGATACACTGTCTTTATCCCTCAACTTAATTATATATACCCTATAGTTAAGAATGATTGTTCTGAGTTGTATTTTTTGACCCAGCTACAGCCAAAAGGCCTTAGAAGTAATCTGCTAATGCTGAGAGGAACAGAAGACCCTAATCTGTTTTATCCTGAAGATACTTTGACAAGATTTTGTTGATACAATGGGAAAGAAGAGGAAAAAAAGAGGAAATAGGAATTCCATTTTAATAGCCATAAGGCAAATTCTATGGTGTGTAACTATTTGCTAAATGAAGGGGAAAGTTGCATGGTAAATACAAAGATGATGATTCTATAGCACTATTTGGCTTTGCTTTGTTTATTAGATGCATTTCTGAAGATTATTGACAATGGGAATTTATGTGTAATACTTTAAACAAAAGTCACATTCATCTATAATGTTCTTAGTAAAATGTTAAAGTTTTCTTTCTGTGCATTTTACAGGTTTAGCAATGTTTTTTTAACTTTTTGTTTTACAATAATTATAGTTTCATAAAAATATGTATAGTGAAGTCTCATACACCCTTTACTCGGCCTAATCAGTATTAACTATTTGCATAACTATGGTACAAATTCAAACGCAGAAAAATGACATTGGTAAAATCCACTGGGCATGTTGTGTGTATGTAGCTCTATGAACTTATCATATATGTAGCTTAATGTAACTACCACCACAAAAGATATGTAACTGTATTATCATCAAAGCTCTCTCCTGCTCTTGATAGCCATATCCCTCTCTCCCAAATCCCAGTTCTAGCTACCACTTATCTATTCCTCATGTCTATAATTATGTTATTTGAAGAATGTTATATAAGTGAATCACACAGTATGCCTCCTTTTGAGATTGGCTTAAAGTTCATCTAAGCTATGTGTATCAATAATTTGTTCCTTTTTGTTGCTGAGTAGTATTTCAACACTTTCAATATACTTCTGTTTTAAATATCACCATCTGCTGCCTTTAATGTACCCCCATGTCCAAAATTCATATGTTGAAATTCTAACCTCAGTACCTCAGAACATAACTGTATTTGGAGACAGGGCCTTCAAAGTAGTAATGAAGGTAAAATGAAGACAGGCTTCAGAATGAAATCAACCTTGCTGACACCTTATTCTTGGACTTCTAAACTCTAGAACTATAAGAAAATAAATTTCTGTTGTTTAAGCCACATAGTCTATGGCATTTGTTAAAGCAGAGCTAGCCAAAAAATACAATGTGTAAGAATAGTTTTATCTTTCTTTACAAATTGTCTCATATATATATGCTCATATATAACAATACTTTCTGCTATGAGACAATTCTTTGTGTGTCCACATAATTTATGAATGCTTTTCAAAGGGAGTTTTTAAAATCTCTGATGCTTTTACTCTGTCATGTACTGCAATAAATCATGTTTATGAGGGAGTTAAAGAAAATACACACTTATAAAAATCATAGGGGTATTCCTGCCTAACTATGTTGCAGTAAAAATCTATAGTGTTATGATGGGGGCATTTAACTGAAAGCAATTGGAGTTTTAAAAAAAGACAATGTGGGGCGCCTGGGTGGCGCAGTCGGTTAAGCGTCCGACTTCAGCCAGGTCACGATCTCGCGGTCCGTGAGTTCGAGCCCCGCGTCGGGCTCTGGGCTGGTGGCTCGGAGCCTGGAGCCTGTTTCCGATTCTGTGTCTCCCTCTCTCTCTGCCCCTCCCCCGTTCATGCTCTGTCTCTCTCTGTCCCAAAAATAAATAAAAAGTCTTAAAAAAAAAAAAAAGACAATGTAACTACTTTTTTACAAATGGTACCTAAAAACAGCATTTGGATTCATTTCTGGATATTTTTTTTTGCTCTTTTCAGAGTGGATAATAGTTAAACATGTTAGCTGTGATGTTTTTACAACATAGATATGCATTATAATTAATATTAATTCTTACTATTTGCTTTATTTGATATGGAAAAGAAATGGCACCATAAGTGGAATAACTAAATTTCAATTCACTTAGCAACATTTTTTTTATCTGATGTTTGTTGGTAAGTTAATATGGACTTGCTCATTCAGATGTATTTGTATAGGATTATATCAAAAGCAATGCATAAACATTAGAGAGAAGCCTTATATCTAATTAACCTTACTAAGTTACTAAATAACCTTACTAATAAAAAAATATCTTTCTGGACCTTAGGAAGCAGTAAGAACAACAACCAGAAAATCACTTCTTTGGCATATAGAGTATACAACCGCACCTCAGTGAATATAATTCCACCAGGGATATTATGCATCGAAAAGGAATTATGGGTTTGTTTAGAGAGAACAGCAGTGGAACTTACCATCTTGATCCGTGGTCACTGTAATAGCTGTGAATGGCTTGGGAGAAAAACTCAACTCAGAAACTCCATTCATGGCTTCTATTTCAAAGGTGTAATTCACGTGAGACACAAAGTCAAGTACTATCACGGAATTGTTGATGAGGCCAGAATGTCTTGGGATGAAGCGGAGTCCTCCACCACAGTCCTCACACTGGCTGGTATCTAAGCCACATTTCTTACAGATTACACTGTATGTGAGATCTTTTCTCCCTCCTGTGTCACTTGGTGGGCTCCATTCCAAAATAAGGGCTGTTTCATTGATGTTAAAAGCCACATTCCTAGGAGCTGAAGGTGGCCCTAGAGAAAAGCAATTAAAAAACAAATGTACATGTGTAGGACAATGAATGAGAGGGCGCTACCTTGAAAACTTAATCAATAAACATTTGTTTTTTATATTAGTTTGAGCTCTTTCTTCTAATGGGAACCATAAAGAAATATGGTGAAAAACATCTGATTGAGTCTAGTAAGAAAGGAATCTTAGGGGTGAAGATGGTCTATATCTTAACTTTTTGATATATGAATATGAGTATTTAATATCAAAGCCAAAGATCTCCAAAATATATGGTAATTATACTTTGAAAATTTGTTTACTGAAATATATAATAAGCAAACATTATTTAAATTATGTGATGATTTTAATTACGTCTTAATAATTATATCACCATTTTCAAAGTTTGAAAAATAATAACATACATATACAAAACATACTGTCTTCAGTCTTTCAGTCTTCATACTATACTCGGTATATAGATAAAACTCCCACTTATCACCTTTGACAATCCCTAAGGGTCTATTTCTTGTAGGTTGAGAAAAAAATTATAGGTTTTAGGTAGACAGAGTTTGGAAGAAGAGGAAGAGAAAGAGAAGTTGGAAGCAGCAGAAAGGCTTTTACTAAGGCCTTGCCAATTTCATGGAATAAAAGTATTATATGGATGGGATAAAGGAGGGTATACATAAGATATGGTGATTAGACTCTTTTCTCTCTATTTTTCCATATGGATCACACTGCATAGAGTACTTCATATCCTTTAACTACTCCAGTCTTTTCTTAAAATTGTGTCAATAAACTCTTACACTTATGTGAGTACTTCAAACCTCAGTTTGGTATTATTCATTGTACAAACATTAACCAATGGTCTGTTCAGTGTCAGGCACCACACTATATGTGAAATAATACAGAATCCTTTATCTAAGAGACTATGCTTTTTATAAATACTTTAAAAATAATTCATTGAATAAGTAACTAATGAAATAACATTCCTGCCATTCTTTAGAAAAAAATTAGCTTAAAGGAAATCTAAAACAATTCCTCAAATTTATGCTATCTAGAAAATTTGCTTAGATGATGGGAGGAAATTATCTACAACATTCTTTCCACAGGAAGAGATTAAAGTTTTGGGATAGGCTCCTTTTGGATTTCAAGATACAGTCATTACTCATGAAATAAATATTTTTAAGTGACTACTATGTGTCCTAGACACTCTGCTAGATCTTGGACTTACAGTGTGAATGTAATAGACATAATTATGATTTTGTTATTTACATTTTAGTTGAATGGCAGATAAACACACACATAAACAATAATAAAATTCAAGTTATAATAAGTGCAATTGAAAAATCAAAAGGAAAGGAGCTGAAATACACATTATCACGAGAACTAATCTGGAGAAACATTCTGAGAAACCCTCATGGACTTAGTGAGGAAGATGTCAGAGGAGTGAGAATACTAAGGGTAGAAGGTTCTTTAGTCAAGAAAGATCTTAAAATAGTCATGGAACTGGAAGGTAATCACTGTGGCTAGAATGCAAAAGGAAAAAGCAAGAAGTGAGGGTTTTTTTTTTTTTTAAGTTTACTTTTGGTTTTGCTTTTTGTTTGTTTTTGTGTGTGTGTATGTTTTTAAGAGGGAGAGAGAACCAGTGGGGGAAGGGCAGAGGGAGAAGGGATAGAGGATCCAAAGCAGGCTCTGTGCTGACAGCAGACAGCCTGACGTGGGGCTTGAACTCATGAACCATAAGATCATGATCTGAGCCAAAATCAGATGCTTAACTGACTGAGACACCCAGGAGACCCAAGAAGTGAGTTTAAAGGAAGAAGAAAGGGTTGGATAACACAAAACCTCTAGGGTCATTAGAATGAGTCTGGACATTTTTCTATGTACAACAGAAACAGACTTACAGATTTAACATATGGAGGTAATGTGTTTTAAAAAAAAAACATTCCAGTTGCAGTGTAGGGAATAGTCTTAATAAGCATAGGGAACTTATTAGTAAGATCTGTCATACAGTGTTACAGTAGCATAACATTACTCATAAATGTGCATGACTATGTATTGGGTTTGAGATATTAAGAATTGTTATTTTATATTTTCCTTTTTGTTTTTGTTGGATCCTGATAAAAGCAACCTGATGGGTAGGGGCCTCAGCCATCTGTTTGTATATCACCTAAAGTCTGACCTAGAAATGGGGTGGTTAGCTTTTCTAAAAGGTTTCTGCATACTTTGCTTTATGCCATTTCATGTTCCAGAAAGTTGCAGAAACGTCTGTCTTCAGAAAGTAAAATATGGAAGGCATTACAAACTACAGCAAAGGGACGCATGTTGCTTTTTGCCTCCAACCTAGACTTCGGCCTGGGAGATAAAGATTCATTATCATTATCATAAAAAGGTCTTCCTACAGAATGACATATTCATATTGTTGTTCTTTTCTCTTATTTATAATGGAAAACATGAATTATTATTCACTTATATTTTCATGAATAGGAAGAATGTTATCAATTATGTTATGGGTGTCTGCAAGTATATAACTGTCCGCCTGGAGATACTTTTAAAAAAAGGCAGACACCCTTCTTACTCAAGGGCCCTCATACCAATTTGCATGACGATTAAATAGCTTTTTAATTGCTGTTAAATTATGCCAGCTAAACTGTGATTTCATGCAAATATTAAGCTGTAATGACATGCAGTGAATCATTTACTAAGATTTAAAACTTGGAACAAAGAGAGACAATTAATTCTAATCCTCAGATTCAAGCAAATTATCTGTCACTGGGCTTTTATGAATGTGGCCTGATTGCTTTGTTATCATTTATAAATTATACAAAGATTATGTGACATTGGAAAAAAAAAACTGGTGCAATAACCCTTTTGGAGACATCTGTATAGAAAACTCTCAGGGATTTCCTTATGTTGATTTTTTTTCTTTAAAGGAAACAAGTAATTCACATAGAAGAAGAGACTTCACCCTCCAGATTGACTTCATAAGAGAAGGACAATTATTCTGATTTGCAACTAGCTGTTTTTCAAGTCCATCGTATATTAAACCTTACAATAAAACAATTTTACTTCTACTAGTGTATCTAGCAAGTATACTTTTAATCTTTTGCTTCAGTTTGCGTTCCCCTGTGACACGTTTAAAGAATAAAGGAATGTTATTTTAATAGCAACTTATGAAACAGCCTGGTGGCAGTACGATATATTCCCAGAAAAGCATCTGAGTCTACAGCCCCCATCTTCCTCTCAGTAGCAAAGGCCAGGTGGGCTATGATTTTTGTTTTATTTCATTTTATGTAAAAAAATTTAAAAATAGAACTGTATTTCCCAAAATATATCCTTTCAATATTTCTAGCCCCATGAGATGTCACACAAAAAATGAGCTTAGTTCTCAAATTAAGACTCCTCTGGTAGACTGACACTGAAACGAAAAATAATACAATTTGCTTTGCTTTGTTGAATCCAACATTTCTAAACATTTATTCATAGACCCTTATTTTCCAAGAAGCATCTACAGGAATACTAGCATTCTGCAGAACACTCTTAAAGGCTGACACTGAAGGACAGCAAACTTAAGGATCATATTTCAGTTACTACATCAATTGCTATAGATTTAGACACGATGATTATAATTGTAGAAATACAGTAACTCACAGATAAACATGGATCTTTTTCAAATTGACTCAAGACTAATTAGTCATCTACGATATAGCTAGTTGTGTTTGCAGATGCATTTTCTAACCTTAAGAACAATGAAAATTTGATCCAAATAACTGAGAGTATCAAGTTATGGAAGCCTATTGTTTACTAAACTATATTTTATGAGTTAAGTTACTCCTTGGCAATAATTTAAATGTGTTTGTTAATTTTATGACTATCATGAATATAGTAGTATATGTCTCTAGAGGCAAGGGAAACAAAAGCAAACGGGACTATTGGGACTCCATCAAGATAAAAAGCTCCTACACAGTGAAGGAAACAATCAACAAAACTAAGAAGCAACCTATGGAATGGGGGAAGATATTTTCAAATTACATATATGATAAAGGGTTACTATCCAAAATCTATAAAGAATTCATCAAACTCAACACCCAAAAAACAAATAATCCAGTGAAGAAATGGGAAGAAGACATGAATAGACACTTTTCCAAAGAAGGCGTTCAATGGCTAACAGATACATGAGAAGATGCTCAATATCACTCATCATCAGGGAAATACAAACCAAAACTACAATGAAATGTCACCTCACACCTGTTAGAATGGCTAAAATTAACACAGGAAGTAAGTGTTGGCAAGGATGTGGAAAAAGGGAACCAACCCTCTTACATTATATTGGTGGGAATGCAAACTGGTGCAGCCACCCTATAATTTAATATGGAGGTTCCTCAAAAAGTTAAAAATAGAACTACCCTACAAACCAGAAACTACACTACTAGGTATTTATCCAAAGGATACAAAAATACTGATTCAAAGGGATACATGCACCCCAATGTTTATAGCAGGAGTATCAACACTAGCCAAATTCTGGAAAGAGCCCAAATGTCCACTGACTGTGGAATGCATGAAGATATATATATACACGTATATATATATATATATGTATATACGTATATATATATGTGTATATATATACACATACATATATATACACACACATAAATATACACACACATATATAAATACATAGATAGATATAGATAGATATAGATATAATAAATATATATCACATATATATACTCACACATACACAATGAAATATTACTCAGCCATCAAAAAGAATAAAATCTTGCAATTTGCAATGATTAGGATGGAGCTAGAGCACATTATGCTAAGTGAAATAAGTCAGTCAGAGAAAGACAAATATATGATTTCACTCATATGTGGAATTTAGGAAACAAAACAGATGACTGGGGGAAAAAAGAGACAGAAAAATCATAAAACAGACTCTTAACTATAGAGAACAAGCTGAGGGTTTCTGGGGGGTGGGGTGGGAGGATGGGTTAAATGGATATTAAGGAGGGCACTTGCT